TTATGAGCTTGATTTTTGATTTAAAATTTTCTATGCCATTTATTTTTTATATTTTTTTTTCGCTTTGTTTAGCCACTTTGCACTGCAAATTTTCACACTTCAGTCTTAGCAGAGAGAGGGTGTCATGGGATCATGTATACTCATTCACTTATCCTGTTGCACTGAGTGTATGCAACAGGTTGTGTTGCGCTTTTTGCATTATGAGTATATTCACACTTGAATGCAGGAGTTTGAACTTATTTTGGAATTCCTAGGGATATTTTAACTTTTTTTTTTGGTAGCTAAAATATTTTTGCTCACCTTGTTTGTTATATTACAATATGACGTGTAGAGTTGCAATACGTGAGCAAGATAAGACGGAAGAACTAATTCTTAGCTATTCATTAGAATTCTTCTGTGCCATTATTAGATCTGCTTACTTCGCAGTTCTTTGTGGCTCAAAGTGAATTTACAAACGAGTTGTTCAGACTTTCCCATAAGTTGCCTTATTCCGATTCCGTATTGCTGCCGAATCATCGGAAAACCACTTAAAAATCATTTTATTGATTAGTGCTGCATTTAACTTATTTCTAAATCAATTTAATTTTCTTTTCTGACACCAAATATTAGGCGGGAAGTAGTTTTTAAAAATTTCCACTAAGTATGTTGAAAAGATTCTGCTTTCCTCTCAGCAAAATCCATTTTTGGAGCTTTTAAAAGCTTACATATTCTCTTTATCATAATTGTTGTAAAATGCTTAGTTAAGTACCACCCAAATATTTTATTAGTTTCCGTCAAACTTCAATATGATATTTACAAACATAAATAAAGTTTGAAGCCGCTTGTAAAATGAATTTCTTTCAATTCATGTGGTATCCAAATATCAAGCTTTTTACCAGTCCCAGACGTCGTTTATGATTATTAACGGTTGATTTTGGTATACTTAACTTCTTTCCAATCTCACGCTCAGTTACATGACGATCCGATTGGATTAAAGTCTTGATATCGTCATTATCAAGTTCACTTGACCGAAATCTCCCGAACCGAATTTGACAAACCAACTTCGATACTGTCAGGGCTGTCATGGAATGCAAATCGGTTTTGCAAACCGATATTGATTTTATTTGGAATCAGCTGTTTTGCGTGCTTGTTTGTCAATTTCAATGCAAAATTTTATAAAATTAGTTGGGTTAATTGCTTTTTAATAAAGAAAGATAAATAAATGAGTGAAATATGGCATCTGCAGTTGTGGCTTTTATGTTTCTGGAAGAAAGCAGTAGTGAGAAAATTAAAAGAAAAATTTTTCATTTTAATTTTAGGGTTTTTTTTTAATACTTACACGTATAGCGTATTTGTAGTTTCATAGCTTATGCTTCCAGGTACTCAGAGCTGTCCTTAACAGTAAAGTGATTTACTTGTTTTTTGCTTCTCGTAATCAAATTTTTTTAAGCTCAAGTTCAAGTTGCTGCTTTTTAATTTCATTTGTTTTCCTTTGGTGCTCGCAAAATTTTAGTATTTATACGGACATATTCGACCTTCATATCCGTAACGGCAGTTGCTATAGAATTGTTGCCTTTTTCAATAGCTCTCTAAGCTCGGCTGAGGCTGCTGGCGTTTTCTTTTTCAATGTTCACGAAGTCGTCCAATATTTCATTTATCTCCAATTTTCTGGCATTGTCCTTATCAAGGTATTTTTTCAAGCGTTCCCCAGTGGTTTCACTCCTTTGCCTTTTAGGATTTTAGGATTGCCTGCAACTGGAGACGTTTGCCGCTTCGATCATGTTGATGGCATGTAATCGTCACTTTCGTTGGGAAGCATTGCCATGCCACACCTACGACAGACTTTGCCATGCCACAAATTCGCACTATGACCTCTTCCGTTTGGGTCAGTTGAAATTTGCAGAAGGGTCCTCCACCATTTGCTTTGGACTCGGCGTTGTTTTGACCAAGTTTTCTCTTGACATCGCATCCATTCCGTCCAGGTCTGTAAATACATATATAAAAAACTACAATTTAAAAGCACCATCAAATTTTTATCACCAATAATCCTGCGTTCACATCTTTTTGTGGTGGACCAGCACCGTTGAGAGAATCGGTTAATTGCTGCCAAAGAGCATCAACGCTTGGTTTGTCCCGTTTTGTGAACCTCTTGGCAATATCATGATATTTTTCTATAAATTCAATTGGAATTGCACTTTGTGTTGCATTTTTATGTTTTCCCCTAGCAAAATAAGAATATAAGATAATTAATATTTTTTATTATTCAAAACCACCATTTACTACTTAATTTGTGACTGCAAGTTAAAAAAAACGTTTACACGGTAAGTTGTTTGGATTAATTCCGGTAACAAACCCGATAATTTTGGTTTCTGTGACACCCAAAACCGACACTAATTCCGATTCGAACATAAACCCGATAACGTCGGGTTACATATCACCAAAGCAATTTTCAATTCCGACAGCAATTGGATTCCACGACAGGCCTGTGTGTTTCTATGAAGGTCTTGTCACCATACCAATTATGCAACTTTTTACTAACCTGCGCTGCAGTTTTTCGTCAAACAAACAAATGTAAAGAAAATTACGCGTACGTTTTTCTAAAGCAAGCTAAAAGTGACAGCTTATAACTGCCAAAAGAAAAAAACAATTATGTATCCAAAATAAGTTCGATAAATTTGTCAACGCCGTCTGTATGGAAAATCGCTGGTTTCTTTTGGTATCCGTAGAATACAGCTATGTATTTATATCAAAAAAGCTGGGAAATCCTTCTGGAGGCCTTGAAATACGAATGGTATTTACAGAACTGTTTAACGTTTTATTCTGCTCAGTAAGCTGAAAACGTCTTCGAGGAAGGGATTTGCTGGTCTTTTGAAGTGCAACGTCTATCACCTGTCTATTTATGAACTAAAGCTGTAATTCACCAACAATTAAGATTTTAAAACTATGTCTTATGCTTTAAATAAGCAGATTCAATATCAAAATTTCCTTTAACAAAAAAGAAAATGTATAATATATATATATTTATGAATCTTCCTTCAGTTTTCTAAGATTGATTCTGGTTTTTTCGTAATATATATTTATATATTGAGGGTGATTTTTAAGGGCTTTAGGAAAGCTTTCCAAAACAAAAACACATAAAACTCAGAAAAATTTATTTGAATCGATAGTATGATCCAAATAATTTAATGTTTGAATATTATTTCAGGCAAATGTCGATCGGGACTCCGTCTCAAGCGGTCCATGCGCTTAGTCCAATTTTAGCATACTCTTTCCAACATTTCGGCCGGTATCTTACGAATAAATGCTTCAATGTTGTCCTCCAATGCGTCGATTGCAGCGGGATTGTCTGTATAGACATTAGATTTAAATATTTGTAGTCTAAAGGCGTTAAATCGCACGATCTAGGCGGCCACTTGACCGGTTCCGAACGTGAAATAAAATGTTTACCGAACTCGCCTCTCAATAAGTCCATTGTTACGCGTGGTGTGTCATGTGGCACTGTCTTGTTGAAATCACATGTCATGCGAGTAAAGCTCTTATATTTTGGCCAGAAAAAAAGTTTGATATCATCTCACGGTGGTGCTTACCATTCACAGTTACGTTACGATTCGCCTCATCTTTGAAGAAGTACGGTCCAATGATGTCACCAACCCATAAACCGCACCAAACTGTGACTTTTTCTAGATGCATTGGTAGCTCTTGCAATGCATCTGGCTGATCTTCACTCCAAATTCAAAATTCAATAATTTGCTTGGGTTGTTCGTTTGTAAGACGATTCATGGTTAAATTATAGACCAAAGTGAAGATGTTTGTCAGCGACACAAAACACGAAAAGTGCGTCAGCTGTTTAAACCAGTGTTCTCAAAAAGATAAAAGCCCAAAAAAATTCACCCTTTATTCTATAACTGCTGAAACGATTTTCGGTTGAGCTCTTTTTCCAATTTTTGCCGCCTGATACGCATAATGTACGTGCTCTTAGATAATTTAAATATTAATATATCTTTCGGCAAAAACCTCGTATCTAAGTATGGGTGAAATTAGAGTCCTTTCGACTTGGATGATTTTCGTAGAAAATATTTATTTGTAGATACGAACGTATAGTACTAAATATCACGCTTATAAATGCTTTTGTGACGAAATTTGTGATTCAAAATCTGAAACCTGAAAAATCGGTGGTGTATCTGTTGTACAACTTAATTCGTCATGCTGATCAAATCGGTATACATTTTTGGATTCATCTCTTCGCCTTCTGGTATTTACATATTTAAAATGAAAGTTTATATTCCATTTCGTGTACATGAAAAATTAAAAATTAAAATAATGAAAATAAAAACTCACTGATTTGGCAGAAATTTGAATATTTTACGCTGTTCGTAAGTAACTCTTACAGAAACCAGGATCTGTTTTTCATCACTAACTTTCAAGTTTACATCCCGATTTCTACTTAAAAAATTCTACTTTTTGAAGCCAACTAATTTTTGATTTTTCAACTAAGTTCTTTAATCCTAGTTCCAAACAGAATAAAAAACTCAGAGAACAATAATTTTTTTAATGGCTCCAAGCGCTTCAAAACAACAAATTTTACGAAAAATAATTTTTTTTTGTACATTCTGATATGCTATTAATAATATATCAAAAATTGAGACTGATTGAATTTTATTTTTTCTAAATGAAGTGTTCACAAAAGGCCTTAAGAAGAATATAAATTACTAGACTATACTGCATTAAGGACAGTTGGTAGCTCTCAACTAAAAGATTTCAAATTAATTACAAAAGTTGTATTTAAAAATATTAAATACTTACTCAGTTTCTTCCATCATAAGCTCAATGCATAGGCTGCTTCTTGTTTCGAACTGTTTATTTTTCTAAAATAAAAATTTTTGTACTAACGATTTTTTCTTCGAAACATACTCAAGCCCAGTCCTTACAGAGGTTTATCTTCGGATATTTATTACATAAGAAAATCAATATTCCTGTGTTTTTATATTAATATTTCTTTGTATTTGTATGTGTATAAATGCAGTTGTTGTAAATTAAATTAAACTTAATATAGACTAAAAGTAAAGCCGATAATTTGATATATTTGTAAATTTATAAGAATATGAAGTAATAATGTATTAGAATATATATTTATAGAATAAGGATACGAATGAATTTTAAAGCTCTTAAGACGAAAGCTAAGACACACACCACAAAACGGCATGCTTTAAAGCGATTGCCACGTTTTGAATAAATGAAGTTTTCCTTTTCGCTATGATTTTTTTGGAGTTTTTCTCACTTTGAATTGTGCTTAGTTTCGTTAACATGCAGGTTCTTCGCCTGCAGTGGGGAGCTTTCGGAGCGAGTGGAGTGTGGTTCAAAGTCTGTTTGTTAGTCGTCGATGCAGCTGAGGAGATTCAGTCTCAAACAACTGGTTGAAGCAGTTTTGCATCATAAGTATAATTCCGAAGGTTTCTTTATTGTCTGTTTTGTGATGGTGAATTATTAAATAAATAAATTAAATTAATAGATATTTGAGATAAATTCATCAGTCATTGAAGGCCATGGCAAATATATGTGAGTAGCTTAGACTTGGCGTTTCGAGCGCATAACTTTACTCAGCCGACTGCGTCGTCTTCGGCGTACAACATTCTCATCATATTCCTCGATTTGCTCGTCACTATCATCGATTTCCACATCAGTGGGTCGCACTGGATACCCCTCCTCTGGTTTGACAATTTTCACGCCTTTCTCGCCGAAAAGTAGGCAGTCAAAGTTACTGAAAATAAGAAAAAAAAATTTGGTACTCATTATATATACCTTCCTTAAACTCTTAATCTCCACACTCACCGTTCGAACAGCTCATAACCCTGAAATGAACCCGACAAAAACATGCAAACATGCATATTACGGCCTACAAACCAAATATCGTGGAATTGTATGCAAGCGCGTGCAAAGTTGAAACGCGGCGGCCGGAAACAGAATGGCGGTGGATTTTGGCCAGAGACTTTGCGTTTAAACCAAACATTATTGTTTACACGCATGCGCAGCTCGAATGAGAATTCCTCGGGTCTATAAACCACTTCTGTGCAACTATTCAAACCGATGACAGAGAGAAAGCCTGGAAGAATGTAGCGCTATTAAATAATAAATTGCAAATAAAAATATCTTCAACTCACCTGCGCAACACTTGCATATACCCTTATCACATGTGCAGGGTATACGACTTACTAGATCATTCACTGTGACATTCGGCAAAGATATTTGTCGAGATTGTTCCTCGAATGCCAGCAGATTGAGACGATAATTCAGTTGACCCAGTTGTTTGGCTGCTTCGTAGGCGATGTCTTCATTGGAGTCCTCATAGCGACGCTGATTTCGCGCTAAATATTTATGTTTATAAAAAAATTATGATTTTCTAACGATTTCAATGACTTTCAATTTAAGATATTTAAATATATTGAATTGGCTAATTGCAGGGGTTAAAGAAGGGATAAATAAAATTAAACATAAAAAACTTGGCAGCGATTTTAGAAGAGTTTTTATAATACTTAGGCTCCCCATTACCGGTAGTTATTACACCACTACTACAACTTATTCAAAAAAATCAAAAAGTTATCGAAAATGCTTTTAAATTTATACAATTAAGTACAATTAAATTTCTATCAGCGTTGGATGCTTTTCTCCGATCGTAAATATTTGCATGAGCGAAAGAGACTGATTTTATATTCCCGAAAACAAGTTTGGGGTATATTGTTGCGGTTACGGCAACAACAACAACAATGAACGGAAAGGAGTACTCGAGGCTAAAAGTCAACGACGGCACGACGAACTGGCCCCACCAAGAACTATTGCAACAATTTGAAATGTTTTTTACTATGCTCTCCCATACTTCACAAAATATTTTTATATAATTGGCGCTTTGTAACCGCTGAAGCGCTTTTCGGCGACTCGGAATCTAGAGTTTATACTAAGCCGCCTCCGGCTGATGTTTTTTTTCATGAGGATCATTATTTCAGGTCAGAAATACGCTCTGAGGGGGTTGACATTCCCTGCCGAGGGAAACTTGTTTAGATGTTAAGACGACACCAGGATTTGAACAGGAGCCTTCCGAATGGCTCCCCTTTAAAAACCGGTTTAAATCTACCAATTGAAGCTCTGTCTGATTTTTCGAATCTAAATTTTTCGATAAATCCAAATAAAGAACTCCAAGTCTGTTAATTTATTCGCTGACTTTTTGAAATCCAATTTTGTTTCTGATGCTGCTGATTCGTCTTTTAACTCTATCATCTCTCATTCAGCTGGTATTGCATCAATTTTTGTGTCTGAGATAGACATCTGTCTTCAAACCTCTCCGCTGAAAAGTGATTCGAATGCTTTGAAACAATTTTATTTTTCCGTGTGTAAACCTCCAAGCCATATCTTCAATCTGCCCCTTTCAATAGATGTTTTTATTACGCCTAACTTCAAATCAAGCAATGAAAATAATGCACGAAAAATTGTAAGTAGTAAATAATTATTCGCAAATTAAAATAATTTTATACCCAAACCAGTATGGCTTTATAAGTGAAAGTTCTACAGTCACTAACGTTTCGCAGTGTTTTCGCAATTGCATCTCAGATTCTACGTCTGGTTGGAAAGTAGATGCTATTGACAGACATTTCTTTAAAGTCTCGCATAATATTCTGCTACGGAAACAAGATTTCTCTCATAGTTGAGATCCTATCTCTTAATAGAATTTCGGTTATTGAGATTGAAGGCGTATGCTTTTACAGCGACCCCAGGGGTTTCCCGTTCTACTTTCTCTATTTATTAAGGACATTGGGATTGTACTTCATGCCGGTGACTTAAAGTTGTACAGCACAAAATTTGTGCATCTGATGTTAATTTAATATAATACAGCAAAATCTAAGTAACTTAACTTTTGTGAGCATCCGAAACAAAGTCTCTCTTAAAATTAAAAAATACTTCCATGTTACTTTTTCGAAGTTCTAAAAAAGGTTCCCAGCCTCGCATAATCTTTCTAATGTGAACTTTTTCAATGTTAAAGAATTCTCTGAACGTGGAATCAAGCCTTTATCATATAAGTTACATGGTTCCAAAATTTTATGCAATTTTTTACATGATCCTTACACTTGAAACGTTTTGTTCCATTCTTTACTTCGTTCAAAGCTTGAATATGGTTCTATAATTTAGAATCCAAATTTTAACAACTCCACTTCGGTGACCCATTATCACTTGACAGTGATCAGTGTTGGTTTATATCAAAAAAGTCTCTTATTTTTGACCTTATCTCTATTTCTATTGTTAACCCAGAAATTCTTCGACAGATTGGCTTCAATGTCTAGCTATCCTTGAACTGTCAAGACAGCTAAATCAAATTGTAATATTACAACATTTCCCCAATCGCTCGTGCATTTACTGAGTTTAATTTAATCTATAAAACTCTTGAAACTCTCTCAGTTTTTGGCGAGTGACCAAAGATGTGTGCGGTCCAGCATAGTAATAGTGGAATATGACATCTTCACGATTGACAAATTCTGACCGCTTCTCGTTGATGGATGCATTCAATTTTTCCAGTTGTTCACAGTAGATATTCCTTGGAAGCAACTCAAAATATTCCACCCTTCCAATCCCACCAAACTGACAGCATAATCTGCTTACATTAAAATGCCTCGGAGATCCATCACTGATAACGACAACAAGCAAACGTCAATCCTGATTTAAGGATATGCAACTATAATGTTTGGTACCTTATTTGAGCAGTGCCTCCTACCACACTGGTGGACGTCCTCGTAGGACGTCTTACATCACCGACGTCCAAAGAGTGCGATGAACGGGGCAAAGATGGAAAAAGGTGGGTCCTTCTCAGATTTACTTCAGCGGCTATATAAAAGAGCAGGAAATCCATGATGGTTTAGTGGGGAGAGACACAATCCGTATCAAAACCAGATTTTCTAACATATCGTTGATTTCCGCTCCGACGGAAAGAACGACAATATGAACATAAAAACTTTCTATGATCGCGATGCTAAAATTGTGCTTGACGATTTTAGCGCCAAAGTAAGCAAAAAAGCTATTTTTAGTACAATAGTTGAGAAATTGGACGTCCAGGACGAAACATATCCAAACAGTCTGAGGCTGATTGACTTTGCCGCGACCAGAAATATGGTTGCCTGTGGCATCAGTTTCCCATACAAGAAAGTTCAACGATCTACAATTCTGTCGCCGGATCGCAGATCATCGAACCAAACCGATTATATTGTGATTGACGGAAGGATATCTTCAGGGTTGCAGGTGTGCGTACGTTCCGAGAGCCTAACATTGACAAGGATCATTTGTCTTTTCGCAGCGAAGATACGCACACGCCGCTTTGTATCACAGAAATTTTGTCAACAAAGGAACATGGGAAGTTCGACGTCGATGAGTTACTAACACAACTCACAGCTGAATAGTTTTCAACTCATTTTGCAATCCTGCTTTCTGAGAGCACTCATTAACAGCTCGATATAAGGCACATGTGAGTTGGGATAGATACCGAGAGCTGAAGAGAGAAGAAGATGCATTTTTGAAGAGCATCAGAAGCTGACCGATGACAAGGTTTCGTGTGGAAACAAAGCAGGTAATCTGCTGACCGATGTCCAGGGGATACTAAGTGCATGAAGCTGATGTCTTACTTTCCGAGGTATTCAAATATGACGACGAAAAACTGTTAAGGTGCATCACTCACTTTGCAGGTTATGGTCGATCGGAAGTATGACCGGAAACTTAAAACTTAATGTGAGTTGCCCAATCCGTGAAACGGGGTACTCCAAGTTCTGTGCCAATTACCGTGTGACTAACCAATAACGCATATAGGGTCCTATGGAATGCATTGTGTGAAATACTAAAGCCCAACGATAATAAACTAATGGGACCATATCACCATGCACCAAATTATTTAAAAATACCGTAAGAAAAAATTTGATTTACTTCACGTTTTCTTCGATTTTAAAACTAGCTTCGTGAGCACAATAAAGAGCTGCCTCTAATCAGCTATGGCTGAAGTTGGTATTCCTGCGAAACTTCTACGGCTTTGAAAATTGACGCTGGACAATACCAGAAGCGCATACGAGGAATGAGGAACGATCTTTTCGAGCCGTTCGGTACTAATGGAAGTTTCAGACAGAAAGACTCTTTATTACGCGATTTCTTCAATTTTCCTCAGTCATCTTACTTCCGTGAGTGTCGCTCCCACAGAAAGTTTTGACGGTTTAAGGCTGTACGTCTCTAAATTCTTTTTACGAAATCAATAAACGGGGCGCAGTATAGGTAAATAACCTAAAGTTTTCCGGTGGTCCTTCCACAATTTTACTCATCTTTAAATGAAAGCAAAAAAATTGTAATCTTTAATTATGCAAAGCCATATTAATTTGCAAGTGTGGTTATGTAGATATATATATATATGGTATGTGCATAAAATAATTCTCAACTTGAACTCACTTTCTTTGGAAAACTGCGCGACTGTAAAGACAATTTGCTTTTAGCTATTTTATGAGGCTCATTAAGTGTCTATTATGCTAAGAACGCTCAATAAATGGTTGTGAATGTTGCTTTGTGGCACAAGAAAAAGTGTAAAAGTCAAAACAAAACACGTCCAATTACACACATTGTGCAGAAACACATTGTAAGTATGCTCGCACACATACATATGTACATACATACATAAAGGCATTCTAACGTTCAATTTGCAACAGGTTCACATGAGATTTATTTATGCACATACATATTGTATTATACGAGTATGTGTGTACGCATGCGTTCGTTTGTGCTTATTCAAATGAGGGAAAACATTTGCACATCTGTACATATTTTTTTTACTTTCTAAACATACTAATCTACTGTCTAATAGTTAGAAATTTTCCAGATGCACAAATTACACAGTCCAACAAAATTGGATTACATTTTGTACCAGAAACAGGACTAAACTTTTGTGCTGAATCCGAATCTGGACAACTTCTACGAGGCAAAAAAAGATTTTTAAAAAATTCAAAATGCCTTTTAAACAGCAGAAGTGACCCTTTCAGGTAGAATAACGATCCAAAAAAATTATTTTTTCTAGAAGTGACATGCCCTGAAATGTATTAAAAAACTAGTTTTTTGCACTTTGCACGATGAAATATCTCAAAAACATGCCGTGCTGAAACTATTTTGAATCTAGATTCGGACTCAGCACGTCAAAACTCTTCGAAAAGGTATAGTTCTATTTCTGCTTACAAAATCGTGTTGGCCTGTGTTAGTTATACAACTAGGCCTTGGAGCCACTTATAAGTATTTAATACGACATTTCCACAACAGCCAAATTTCGCACTTCGCTCTCTCAAACGTAATTCGCACTCCAAAT